AAGTCATCTTAAAGAAGGTTCACCTCACAGGGAAGAAGAGGCTCCAGCTGTTGGCCAAATTGTTCACATGGCAAGAAAGCAGTAGGGTAAAATGTCAACACTGAAAATGACAGTGACTGCACATAGGAGGGCCTCCAACCATGCGTGGCCACAGTAAGCAGCACGCACATGCAAAAGATAAATAAGGAATTTTAATAAAGACCCCATCCTACCTTACAACTGCTGAGGAATATACTCATTTCTGCTTACAGACTCAATTTCTCCTTTGTGCCAGACAAATGGTAATTGTTAGAGCAATTTAAACAGATACTGATAAAGGGAGTTTTTGATTAAGATCATGAATTTGGGCTGGCAGAAAAGCGATGGTATATCAAGGCAAATAGCCTACTTAGGAAAGAATTAAACCTGGTAGAGGAAAAAATGCTTTCAATGTGGTGTTGGTGAAGGAGCTTCACAACTTCCAGTCCAACATGCTACAAGAGGCAGGAACCCACAGTAGATGCACAGCCAGGAAAAAAAAAAATGAATTTTCTTTGGGTCTAGACCAAACTCCATTGTGAAGAAAACAAAAATAAAAACAACCAAAAACAAAATGGCCTCATCTGAAAATGCCTCCAAATTCCTCTAACAATACTCAAAAGAACATGAAAGCAAGTGTCCATGCTAACAGCATCCCCCAGCCCCCTCTTTTTATTTCCTCTGGCTAAATGTCAAGCTGTTGAGCTGGTAATGCAGGCACCTTGTGAATAATGTAAAACAAACAAACTGATTAAACTAAATACATCTACTGAGTCATTGCATTGATCTAGCAAGGAAAGAAAAAACAAGGCCAAGACAGAAATAGTAACTACTGTTTTTCTATTTTTCTCATTGTCCTTACTATAGAGAGGATTTTTCAATTATTTCTGAACAGAATCTGCAGGTAGAAAAGGTTGGGGCAAATGAAAGCCTTCCTGCTTTAATGTAATAGAACTGAACAGGAACTTTTCACATATACATTTTCAAGGACATGCAGTTTCTGGCAAGACAGCAAACTACCATGCTCACTGTGCAGGGGATGTCTAAGAGATGCTAATACAAAACACATGATATGAAGGTAAAGTACTTAATCAAATGATCTGCGCACTGAAGAGGAACAGGTAAGATGAAAAAGTAAAGTATTTTAAGTCTTAGAAGATACTATTGTTGCTTTTTATCAATTCTGTTCAGCAACTATTAACTGGAATTTTTACCAGAATAAAAAAAAAAAAAAAAAAAGCCAAGTCGGGCATCAGTGACTCATGCCTGTAATCCTAGCTACTCAGGAGGCTGAGATCTGAGGATCATGGTTCAAAGCCAGGCCAGACAGGAAAGCCCGAGGATCACGGTTCAAAGCTAGCCCAGTCAGGAAAGTTCATGAGACTCTCAGCTCCAATAAACCACCAGAAAACTGAAAGTGGCACTGTGGATCAAGTGGTAGAGCGCCCGCCTTGAGGTGAAGAGCTGAGGGACAGTGCCCAGGCACAGAGTTCAAACCCCACGATGGACAAAAAAAAAAAAAAGCCAAAAAGTAGTCATGTTAACTTCAGGCCTCAGTATTTGTACCAAAGTGAGGCTGTTCCTTCCTAAAGTAGCAAGCCTGAGGAAATAAAGCTATTTCAGTGTGCCTCTATTCCCTATCTCATTTTGTGCAAATAAAAGGGACCAAATGGCCTACTGTTAGACACATCTGAGGCACTGGCCACCCATGAATTCCCACTCTGTGCATAGAACAGCTATACCCAACCTGACTGAGTCATATGGTGCTACTTCCAGAAAAGGGTGAAGCTATTTTTTAAAATTAAAAGGACCATATGTGTATATGAATATTGAGGATGGATAATTTCAATTCACACAATCACATTTTGTGCGTGTGTGTGCCAGTACATGGTCTAGGTGCTATCCCTTAGCTTTTTCCACTCGAGACTAGCACTCTACCACTTGAGCCACAGCTCCACCTCCTGTTTGGGGGGGATTAATAGTCTCATTAGGGCCAGGAGCCCATGGCTCACGCCTATAATCCTAGCTACTCGAGAGGCTGGGAAGTGAGGATCGTAGTTAGAAGCCAGCCTGGGCAGGAAAGTCCATGAGACTCTTATCTCCAATTAACCACCAGAAAACCGGAAGTGGCACCGTGGCTCAAGTGGTAGAACACTGGTTTGAGCTGAAGAGCTCATGGACAGAGCCTAGGCCCAGAGTTTAAGCCCCACAACCAAAAAAAAAAAAAAAAAAAAGAATCTAATAGACTTTCCTGCCCAGGCTGGCTTCAAATCATGATCCTCAGGTCTCAGCCTCCTGAGTACAGTAGTTGAGGTTACAGGCGTGAGCCACGAGTACCTGGCTCCCAGTCTTTTTTTTTGGTCGGTCATGGGCCTAAACTCTGGGCCTGGGCGCTGTCCCTCAGCAACTCAGCTCAAGGCGAGCGCTCTACCACTTGAGCCAGCTTTTTCTGTTTATGTGGTGCTGAGGAATCGAACCCAGGGCCTCATGCATGGGAGGCAAGCACTTTACCACTGAGCCACCTTCCTAGCCCCCACAGTCACATTTTTAAAAGCTGAACTATATATCCTTAAAGGGACCTTGACCATCTATATTTACCTTCTCTCTGAGTGATGTTGAGAGTGAATGTCCTCCACAATACCAGCAACACAACAAGTATCATTTATTCCCAGATATGCTCTACCTTTCCCTTGTAGGCCTTCTCCCCAAACCAGAGCCCTACCCAAGGAGACCCACCTTCCAAGCTACTCAAATCCCCGTGGGGAGCAAAATCATCTTTTCTCAACAGTCCCTACAACCAATGTACTCTATATGCCATTTAGAAACCCCTATTACATGCAACTTTCTGACCTCCTACCCTGGAATCCACCATGACTTTGTGTTTGTTTGATGGGATCTTGCTATGTTGCCCTGGCTGGTCTCAAACTCATGGCTCAAGTGATCCTCCTGCCTCAGCCTCCCAAACAGCTGGGAACCAGGGCAAGCACAATACACCCAGATCCACTCAGACTTGAAAGGACTTGAAAGGTACACATCCTCCACACACACAGGTTATGAGTTTCTTCTCCAGTCTGGATGGATCATAGCTGCACCAATGCTCCGAGAGGTATGCCCCCTGTCAAGACCAGCTTCCAAGTGACAGGTAATGATTAAATATCCTACCACCTATGAAGAGACTAGATCTCCTACCACCTCAAAGGAAACTCGCACTTTCAGTCACCAAGCAGTTACTACCTTCCAGTCCAGTTTAGCAACGACCCAGCAGAGAATACAAAACTGCAAGCCTGCTGATGAACTGGCCAAACAGTGTCCTCCCCTCAAGAACCAGAGAATGTGACCTTATTTAAAAACAGGGTCTTTGGGGCTGGGAAGGTGGCTCAGTGGTAGAGCGCTTGCCTTGCATGCATGAGGCCCTGGGTTCGATTCCCCAGCACCACATAAGCAAAAAGAAAAAAAAAAAAGCGGAAGTGGCGCTGTGACTCAAGTGGTAGAGCACTAGCATTGAGCTGAAGAGCTGAGGGACAGTGCCCAGGCCCAGAGTTCAGCCCCATGACTGGGCCCAAAAAAAAACAACAGGGTCTTTGCAAATGTAATGAAGATGAGATAATACTAAATTAGGGTGGTCCTGACCCAGTCACTGATGTCCTTGTGAGAAGAGGAAAATAGGGACACAGACAAAAAGGAGAGGCAGAGGCAGAAATTGGAGACAAGCTATCACCTGAGCTAAGATGTACCAAGAATTGACAGAAACTACTAGAAGCTACACAAGCTCGATCTTCCTAAGAGCCTTCTCAACAGCATGTGGCCTGTTGACACCTTAATTTCAGACTCTAGCCTTCAGAACTGTGAGAATAAATATTTGTTGTTTTAAGCAATGCAGTATTTTAATCTGATGCAGCAGCACTAGGAAACAAATACAGTTGGCAAGTCAAAGTTACTGCAAATGTAACTACTCTTGTTTGGGGCTTGAAAAAAAGCTCCTAGATATTACAATTTCTCAGAAAGCATCTGTAGAAACTATGAATGTCCACTACCCAAAAACTAGGCAAAGCTAAATGCTACTTTCAACAAACCAGTGAGATCTTTTGAGTTTAATGTAAACAGCAAACATAATGATGTTATGTTTTGACTTGTACTGCTGATGGAATGGAGAAATTCTGCATGCTAAAAACCTGAGAATCAGACCAGAGAGCTGTACACCTCCTCAACCAAAGAGCCCCAGGGTCATTAAGAGCTATTAAAAACAGAGCACCCAATGTTCTCTGCTTGTTCTAACCGGCTTAAGGCAGCAAAACAGTGCCACCTACTGAAGAACCAACAACAGAACCAAGGTACATTTGAAAAAACTCCTTTTTTTTTTTTTTTTTAATTTTTGCTGATAGTGGGCTTAAACTCAGGGCCTGGGTGCTGTTCCTGAGCAACAGCTCCACTTTCAGCTTTTTTTTTTTTTTTTAATTGAAGATCATAGACTTACAGACTTTCCTGCCCTTGCTGGCTTCAAACCATAATCCTCAGATCTCAGCCTCCTGAGTAACTAGGACTACAGGTGTGAACCACCAGCACCTAACTCCAATTTTTTTATTTAAAACAAGTTTCAGTGCTTTCAGTAGAAGGGCAAAATGACAGTCTATAACCAACATCTTTCTTTAAAATTTGCCTTATTTAGGGACTGGGAATGTGGCTTAGTGGTAGAGTGCTTGCCTAGCCTGCATGAAACCCTGAATTCAATTGCTCAGTACCACATAAAGAGAAAAAACTGTAAGTGGTGCTGTGGCTCAAGTGGTAGAGTGCTGGCTTTGAGCAAAAGAAGCTCAGGGACAGTGCCCGGGCACTGAGTTCAAGCCCCAGTAATAGCCTAAATAAATAAAATAAAATTTGCCTTATTTTCTCCAAGGGGCAATGGATTATAATCTGGTCAGCCCAAGCACCAAGATTCAAATAACCAGAGGGCCAGAGGCCTCACGCCATATACACAAGCATACCTTTCACTGCATGATTGACAGAGGGCGGCTGATCATCAGACGTGGAGCTGAGGTTCAGGGCAAACTCTGCAACTCTTTTTTTCTGTTTCTTGATGGGAGCAGTGCATTCTGGGTCTGTTCTCCTCTTCATTGTTACTGCAATCATAAATCCAGACAGTCAGCTGCCCTTGGGTTAAAGCCACTAGGGTTGAAGGAAGGATTCCAAAGCATAAACCATCAATGGGATGAGATTTGGCAACTCCAAACATCTTCCAGTGCCAGCACTTGAATAGCTAGCTCTTCCTCAGAATACAGTCTAGGAAGAAGGCTAGCCAAGCTCGGGTTTTCAATAACAGCTATTAGTTTTACTGGAAAATGTGCTGTGCTCCCAGACCCAGAGTCCTTGCACCACTGGTATCAGATACTAAAAAGTCATGCATACATCAACGCTATAAGCCCCAGGAAAAGGCCTTCAGTAATAGTTATTCTGTACTTTCTATACTAGCTATACCTGACAATATATACAGGAAATGAATTATGAAGCCTACTATAAATCAATAATTCCAAGTTGGCAGGATTATTCCAGAATGATATGTTCTATCATTATCAGCTCACCAAATAATTAAGTGACTACATAAGTATATGGTACAAATACTGAGTTTCTGGTTCATTTCCTAATGTCTGAAAATAGGAAAAAATGGGAAAGTTTTTAACCAGAGCATGGAATGTAAGCAATGGTTGGATTAAGGTTGAGGAAAGAAGAGTGGGAAAAGATATTGGTGCTGCTGGGCATCTAGTACTGGACTGAGGGCTAAAAGGAATTTTAAGAAGGGCTGGGATGTAGCTCAGTGGCAAAGCGCTTGCCTAGCAAGTACAACGTCCTGGGTTCGATCCCCAGCACCAAAAAAGAAAAGACAAAAAAAAAAAAAAGAATTTTAAGAATAGGAATCCACTTCCACCAAAAGAATGGAGTGCCAGGCATGGTGCAGACCTGTAATCCCAGCACTTGAGAAATAAAGGTAGGAAGAATGTGAGTTTAAAGCCAGCCTGGACTATATAGTGAGATCTTGTCTCAAAAGACCAAGGACTAATCTGAGAAATACGGTTCAAAGCTAGCCCAGGCAGTTAAGTTCATGAAACTCTTGTCCAATTAATCACCAAAAAAAAAAAAAAAAGCCAGAAGTGGTGTTGTGGCTCAAGTGGTAAAGTGCTGGCCTTGAGCAAAACGAGCTTAGGGACAGCACCCAGGACAGAGTTCAAGGCCCAGGACTGGCAAAAACCAAAACCAAAACCAAAACCAAGGGCTGTCATAAACTGACATGTTGAATTGAAATCCCTTTTAAAGCTAACAATAAAAGCCTAAAGATAATACTATAAAAACCAAGTGCCAAGGATGTAGAGTGTTTGTCTAGCATGTGCAAGCCTTAAATTTGATCCCCTTCATTATGAAAGAAAAGATACAAACACCATGTCCCTATCATCCATGCCCACAGATAGGCCCATGCTAGGAAAGCATGGAAAAAACAGGGGATGGAATGAAGTGATTATGAGACTCTGAAGTTTTTTTTCTATGTAATTTTTTAAAATATTTTTATTATCTTTAAGTAGTTGTACAAAGGATATGCCATTCAACAAAGCAGTTTATGAATACAGTGCCATTCAACAAAGGAGTTTTATGAATACAGTGCCTCTTGATCATCAGTCACCTGTGACTCTGAAATCTGAAGGAAAAATAGTGAATACAATGGGGCTTACCCACAACTGATTGGCTATCAAGACCCCAGAAAATGAGAAAGGGCTCAAAATAGGAGCAAATAGCAGCTGGGCTGTCCCTGGGGAAGAGGAGGTGCAGAAGTAACAACAGTGGTCTTATAACCTGGGCCGAAGCAGCCAGAGGAAGAAAGCAATGAAATTCAAAGGGGCCACAGCTCCCCACAATCTCACAAAAGTTCATAATTTTTGAAAGAACAGTATCCCTTCTCTTCAGCCCAAAGATGAGCCAATCAACCCAAAGCACAATCACACGCTGAGAGTTTTTGTTTTGTTGGCGGTCCTGGTGTTTGAACTCAGAGCTTTATGCTTGTTCCATAGGCCCTCTATCACTTGAGCCAAGTCCCCAGCAGGAGACAAAATAACTGGCACAGACAGGGCCTATACTGGGGAAATATAAAGGAGACAAAAGCACACAGAAAGCAAGGCCACACTGAGCCATGACCACTTTACAGTCTTAAATCCCCTCAAAAAAGCCCAGAAGCCTAGCTGTAGGAAAACCCATCACAGAGCCTGTTTGTGGCCCACATCCAACGCAAAAAGGGGGGGGGGGGGGAAATTCCTTTGATTCTTAAAACTACTGCAGGAAGACTGGAAGCATGAGAAAGTCACTATGGACCGTCTCCAGGCAGGTGCACGGAGAAGAGATTGGGTTGTGAAAGGCAGGTGCCGATGCTCCTTCTCAAATCGCATCAGCTGAGATTTGGGCCTTCCAAGCCATCCAAATCCAACCCTCTTATTTTCCCATGGAGGAAGGCCACAGGGTTAACCAACGCCTGGTCAAGCGATCTGCACACGCCAGAAGATGTGCTCCGGCCAAGAACATCTTAAGTGGAAGGCAAGAGGCCTGGTTCTACCTGCTGCTTGCCTACCGAGGGGGGGCTCCAATCCCCTGCGCGGTTTTCTCTCTGCGCCTCGATTTCGCACCGCCACCCGTTTTCATGGGAGGAAAACACGGGCTGCCATCTCCCCCGACCCAGCCTTTCCATCTGGGGTATCACTGAGTGTGTGAGTGTGCGCAGGGATGCGTATCCGCGGCGGCTGGGGCTCCGGGGAAGCAGCCGTGGGGGAAGACTCGGCCCGAGGGCGGGGAGACCCCGCCGCGGTGGAGGGAGGGGATGCGGGGCCCGCTCGCCCGCCCGCCCGCTCCCCCCGGGCCGCGCGTCCGCACTCACGCTGAGGGGAGAGGGCGAGGTGCCCGGGATCGCACAGGGGGCGTCAGGCCGATACTGTCGCCGTCGCTACCGTCTGGCCCGGCCCGCTCCGGCCACCGGCAGAGCCTCGGCCGCGTCCCTCAAGTTTCGTTTCCCAGACCACCGAACCCCGTCCGCTGGCCGCGACGGCGCGCTCCGGTCCCGCCCTTACAGGACGCGCGGTCTGATGACGTCAAGAGCGCGCGCGCCAGCCCCACCTCCTCCGGGCCCCAGTCAAGTCCCTGGGAAAAGGCTGCGCGGGATCCAGCCCGCCCCACTCGGGTCCTAGGGTCCACTGCGCCTGCGCCGTAGAGCCGCCAGGGAAAGGATGCAGAAGGCAAACTCACTAGGCGTCCTCTCCAGCCGGGAGGAGAGAATCAGATACAAAGCTAAAGGGACCTGATGCCCTCACGCCACCAAATCTCGGGCTCATCATTTTACAGAGGAACATTCATGTAGAGGTAGACCATCTGCTGGTTGAAGGCAGGAACCCGGGCATCCCGCACGTCTACACCCTCAGCATGGCTGGGCTTTGTGGCCCAGTGTTTGTCTAGCATGTGTGAGGCGCTGGATTCGACCCCACACTGAAAAGAGAAAAGAAACAAACAAAGCCGGGCGCCGGTGGCTCAGGCCTGTAATCCTACCTACTCAGAAGGCTGAGATCTAAGGATCGCAGTTTAAAGCCAGCCCGGGCAGGAAAGTTAATTTAATTTTCCTTGCATTTTTCTGTCAAACCTATCCATTTGTCCTCTTTCTGTCATCATCTTTTATGCACTCAGGATTTTTTTTCCCAGTAACCTCCAAATCATAGTGCTTGTTTCCAGTTGCAATCCTTCTAATACATCTCCACAAAGCCCAAGTGATCTTAAAAAAAACAAAAACCCCACAAACAATTGGGCTGGGGATGTGGCTTAGTGGTAGAGTGCTTGTCTAGCATGCATGGAGCCCTGGGTTGGATTCCTCAGTACCACAGAAACAGAAAAAAAAACCGGAAGTGGCGCTGTGGCTTAAGTAGTAGAGTACTACCCTTGAACAAAAGAAGTTCAGGGACAGTGGGCAGGCCCTGAGTTCAAGCCCCAGGACTGGCAAAAAAAAAAAAAAAAAGATGATCCTATCACAACCATCAATAATTAAAATGTGCCAATGGCTATTAGCATAAAGCAGCCTCCAGATGGCTTGTCTGATCCTCCAGTGTGACCTCTTCTGCAGTCATGTCTCCTACTTCCAGTCCCTTAAGTCTCCTCATCCTGATCTTCTGTTTCTCAAACATGCCATGTCTCTTTAAAGGTTCTTCTCCCTGCCTGCATCATTCCTCTCTCCTTGCCTGAATAATGTCATTTATCCCTCGTGTCATTTTAACATCCTTTCCTGACTCCACAAATTCACTTCAGGAGCACTTCCCTTCCAACTCCATAGCACTCTTTCCTTTCACCACCAAAAATCTTAACCAAGTATTTTATAAGTGCCCTTTGACTCATCAACTTTCCTTACTCACAGTGTGAACTCTGCAAGAAAGGTTATGTTTTTTTCTCAATGAAATTTACAAGGGCTTACATAGCATAATAGACATTTATTGAAGATGAATATAAGTGGAGTGATGTGTCTATGGTCATAATAGAAAGCAGTATGTAATGTAAGTAGTATTTAATTCCAGCCTCTATTACTAAAGCTGAATGTCTTCTCATCAATTCTCTAGGGATGGAACCCAAGGCTTCTCACATGTAAGGTACATGCTCTTCTACTGAGCCACACCCCTACCCAAGAATTCTCCACATATTGTGACATGGACATATTTGGTTATCTTGAGGAATTTATGCACGGAGTCACAAAAGATATAAAATAACAAGCATCTGCCAAGTGCCATTGGCTCATGCCTGTAATCCCAGCTACTCAGAAGGCTGAGATCTGAGGACCAAAGTTCAAAGCCAGTTCACAGGCATGTATGTCTGTGAGACTCTTTTTTTTTTTTTTTGTCGGTCGTGGGGCTTGAACTCTGGGCCTGGGCACTGTCCCTCAGCTCTTCAGCTCAAGGTGAGCGCTCTACCACTTGAGCTACAGTGCCACTTCCGGTTTTCTGGTGGTTTATTGGAGATAGGAGTCTCACAGTCTCTCTTGCCCGGGCTGGCTTTGAACCGCGATCCTCAGATCTCAGCCTCCTGAGTAGCTAGGATTACAGGCGTGAGCCACCAGCGCCCGGCTCTGTGAGACTCTTATCTCCAATTAATCACCAAAAAGAAGTGAGCTGTGGCTTGAGTGATAGATCACTAGCATTGGGCAAAAAAGCTCAAGGACAGCACCCAAGCCCTGAGTTCAAGTCCCAGGACCAGCACAAAACAAAAATAACTATTCCAGTGTGGAAATGTAATAGTGAACATCCCCAATCCCCATCCCTGTATAACTGATAAAAGCCAATTTAAAAAAAAAAAAAAAAGGTTCCAGAACAGCAGCTTTTGAAATGGCACCTCTGACAATACAATCCTCTATAAAAATAACGAAAACAATATCAAAACTGCTAACTAGGAGAGAAAAAAATGGCCAACTAGAAACATCAGGAAATTCTCTCCCATCTACACAACTGAACAGATAGAATACATGTGATGTCACTGGTTTTTTTTGTTTGTTTGTTTTTGTTGTTTTTTTTTTTTGGGGTCCGGTCGTGGGACCTGAACTCTGGGCCAGGACGCTGTCCTTCAGCTCTTCAGCTCAAGGCTAGCACTCTACCACTTGAGCCACAGCGCCACTTCCGGCTTTTTTCTTTTTTCTTATGTGGTGCTGAGGAATCGAACCCAGGGCCTCTGGCATGCAAGGCAAGCGCTCTACCACTGAGCCACCTTCCCAGCCCCGTCACTGGTTTTTTTTTTTGAGACTACAGAGCCCATCCAGAGAAGGGAGTGGATAAAAACTTTTTCTTCCTTCCTTCCTTATTTGTTTGCTTATCTATTAATTTCAGCTCTTTAGCACAGTACCAGCTAGCCATCCTCTGTCCCTCAGCCAGGGGCAGACAGCTGTGTACAGTGTTCCTGGACAGCTTGTAATCAACTTGCAGGATCCTATGGCCTTGTCCTCCATAGGTAGGGAATCTATGCTCTGACAGAGCATCGGACTGGAGCTTCTGATCACAGAGGTGCAGATAATTGCAGTTGGTTCCAAGCCTCTCCCACTCTGGAAATGTGACCTCCAGAGATTTACAGGGCTAGCGCATTTTTTACTTTATTTTTCAATTTTTATTTATTTTTCATTCATATTTTTTAATTTTTTCATTCATTTTTCAATTTTTATTATTGTGGGAACCAGTAAAGTAGAAAATTCAGCCTGATGTCAGTGGCTCACACCTGTAATCCTAGCTACTCAGGAGACTGACATCTGAGGATCACAGTAAAAAGCCCTGCTCAGGCAGGAAAAGTCCATGATTCTTTTTTTTAATTTTATTTTTATTGTGAACATACTGTACAGAGGGGTTACAATTACATGGGCAAGATAATGAGTACATTTCTTATCAAGCATTGCAGCCTCCTCCTTTGTTTACCCTTCCCATCCCTTCCCAGCCTCCACTCGCCCCCCCATCCATGATTCTCTCATCTCCAGTTAATCACAGAAAAAGCTGGAAGTGGTGTTACAGTGCAAGTGGTAGAGTGCTACCTTGAGCAAAGGAGCTTCGGGACAGCACCCAGGCCCAGAGTTCAAAGCCCGGACTGGGGCGGGGGGCACAGGAGGGGGAGAGGAAAAGGGAGGGAGAGAGAGAGAGAGTGGGGGGGGGAATTTAAAAGCAATTGCTTATGTGGAGAAAATTAGAAAGTAATTATATATGTCCATGTAAACACTTGGAAAAGACCTGATAAGATTTTAACCTCTCAGGCTGCTCTTGGATACTGAGACAACCAATGGTTTTCATCATCATATGATGATGATGATGATGATGATGATGATGGTGATGATGATGATGATGATGATGATGATGATGGTGATGATGATGGTGATGATGATGATGATGAAAGAACACTAACCAATAAACAGCAGCTCCTGGGGAAGGGGGAGAAACTGCCTTCTAGAGCTCAAAGGTCCAATTTCAATAATAGAGATCCATCCAAAGGAAGTTATCAAAGGAAAAAAAATCCACCCAAACTATTCCTGAAAAAGGTATGAAAAGCAGATATACTAGCAAAGACTTTAAAATAATTCTAAGGCGGGAGCTGGTGGCTCAAGTTTGTAATACTAGCTACTCAGGAGGCTGAGATCTAAAGATCAAGGTTTGAGGCAAGCCCAGGCAGGAAAGTCTGTGTCTCTTACCTCCAATTAACCACTAAAAAAGCTGGAAGTGGAGCTGTGGCTCAAACAGTAGTGCACTAGCTAGCCTTGAACACAAAAGCTCAGGGACAGTGCCCAGGCTGAGTTAAAGCCCCAGGCCCAACAACAATTAAAAAAAAAAAACAACAAAAAAAAAAACCCCAAAAAACAGTTCTAGTTGAAGAACTAAAGGAAGAATTAATAAATCCAAAGGAACTAGAGGAAAGACATATAAAAATAAAAGCATAGATTAATGAATTCAAAACAGAAACATAAGACAGATCAAATTTTGTTCTCCAAAATGATTAGTAAATAAATTCTTGCCACACTGACAGAAAAAAATACAAATTATCAATATCAGAAATGAAAGAGGAATCCAGGGTGCTGGTGGCTCATGCCTGTAATCCTAGCTACTCAGGAGGCTTGAGATCTGAGGAACACAGTTCAAAGCCAGCCAAGTCAGGAAAGTCCATGAGACTCTTATCTCCAATTAACCACCAGAAAACCGGAAATGGCGCTGTGGCTCAAGTGGTAGAGCGCTAGCCTTGAGCTGAAGAGCTGAGGGACAGCGCCTAGGCCCAGAGTTCAAGCCCCACAACCGACAGAAGAAAAAAAAATCCTAAACAAGATACTGCAAATCAAATTTAGTAATGATCCAGCACTATGAGAACACACCCTTTGTATATGAATTTGTTCGTGAATGCTTATAACTTGATTCACAGTCACCTCAAAAATACTGTACCAAAAAAAAAAAAAAGGGGGGCCAGGCCCACAAGAGTATATTGTATGACTCATTCATATAAAGCTTAAGAACAGCAAACTAATTAATCTATTGTTGTCTCAGAAAAATATGGTTGGCTCAGAAACACAGGGATTTAC